ATATATGTATATATATATAAAATATATTATTTATATATATAATATATATATATATATATATAAATTATACAGATATATATATATATATATAACTTCTAAAAATATATAATTAGCTAAAAAGTAGAAAGATAGAAAAAGTAAAAGGATATAGAACTACTTTTAGCTAACGCATCTTCGAAGAACGTAAATCAACATTTTCCTCGCGTGCGAAATTTCCCTGCGAATTTACTTCCGAGATTCAAACGGGAATACAATCGATACAATGGGGGGTTTCACGCGGGTTCTCAAATCGTTCCTGTGTGTGCGAAATTCTCCAAGCATCAACATCCATTGCATACATTTTATATTCGTGTTAAAACGAGATGAGAGAATATCGTGCTTACCTCTGCCATCCACGACGATGTTCCTCTCGCGAGTTCGATAAGAGGCAGCTTTCGTCACTCGAGTTCACGTCGACAATCGCCGACGACAGAGAGAGAGAGAGAGAGAGAGCGGTTGATTGTCGCGCTGGACCAAACTGGTCGGACCACAATCGCGGTACCGTTTCGCCGATGTAATCCAGGACTTAACTCATCCTCCGATCGCGATTAACGCGAAATTAATATCCGCGCGTTAGCGCGCACAATCGCAAGCAAAACAAAACGCCGCAATTCACGAGCACAACGTGATCTTCGCGACGCGCGAAATATAAACGAGGATAAGTCACTGGACTAGCTGTCGCACACTGTCACCGGACACCGACAGCGAATGAACGCGCGTTTCAAAAATTCCGATATCGCACATCGAGCGTCATGATCGCTGACGATCGATCGCCGATCGTTCGCGATCGGCTCTCGGATCTCTCGGTCCTCTTCCCGTTTCTCTTTTAATTTTGACAAACGGGAGACTCGACCGCGCTGAAAATCGTCCGTCCCCAGACACCCAGTCAGCCGCGGTCGACAGTCGGCGTACACTGAAACGGCCGCGCGGCGAGCCACGCGACTCCGACTCCGAAAGCGAGGCCGCGCAAGATGGCCGCCCGCGCCGGCGAGCGTGCGCTCGCATTGGTCGGCCGCAGCTTGTCAGGTGCGCGACGCGCGTTATCGCTCGCTCGCGCTCGGTGCGATCGCTGACAATCGCGACGATAAGGGAGCTCGGCTGCGATTCCTCGGTGCTCCGGCACAAGGATGCAATTGACGTCGAATGATACGAACGATTGTCGTCGCGAGGGGAGCGGCTCGCCGACCTGTCAGCTGCACGGAGAAAATCTCCTTTTAAAATTTACCCTGAAAATTTTGCCAATCGTGGGACAACATAGTATTTCGACAAATTTTTACTGTGCACTACAATAAATTTGTTGTAGTATATATTTAAAAAATAGTGAAAATCATATATGAAATTCGTCGAAATAGGTACTATGTTGTTCTACGATTAACACGATTTTTAAGGTAAATTTTAAAATAACTATATAGCACTACAAACGCGCGCTTCGCGCGCGCTATTTAACGCTTCTTATTATAATTTACAATCAACCTCAATACACACAATTTTCAAAATGCAAAAAAAACTGTCAAAATGACACAGCCGCTTACACGAAGTAAGCGGAGCGAGACAACCAATTCAGCATCGCGGAAAGGCGACAACAAATAATTTCAAGAAATGCGACTTTACATGCAAACTTTTTTAGATAGGATAGGAAATTCTCTCCGTGTGGATATATATGTGACCCGCGTATTATACAACTTCAGACTTTTCACGTTTGCGGAGTGTTTAAGCGCATAAATAAAAAATCGAATTAAATCACACTCACGTCAAACCCACTTATTAATATTATTATCAAGTATAGTATTTTAATAAAAAATCAGATAACTTTTTGACAACAGCAAGTATAAAAAGTTTATCTAATGATACACATGCGCAAATCATTCATATTAAACTTAACAATAAGACAAAAATGCTTCGCTACTGTTAACAGTTTTTTGTTCAATTATTATCAAACATATATATGTATATACATTTATTTAGCTACTTATTTTGCAAATTAATAACATAATTAGTCAAAAATCTTTAATATACACATAAAAAACGCTTTATATCAAAAAGATAGTATAACTACACGGAGAGAATTTTCTTTTAAAATTTACCCTGAAACATGTTAATTGTGAGACAATATAGTATTTAGGTAAATTTTACTGTGCACTACAATAAATTTTACTGCGAAATCTTATTGTAGTGCACAGTAAAATTTGCCTAAATACTATATTGTTTCATAATTAACATGATTTGCAGGGTAAATTTAAAAAAAAATTCTCTCCGTGTAATTATAAAATATTTAATTTCTTCAGCACTAATGTGTTACTATAAGGCGACTTACGCGACTATATAATGATATAATATAATAAAAAAATCGAAAGCAGAAAGACACTCGACGCGTTGTCTACATCCTTGTATATCGCGGAATTTGTAGCCGCGTGCGGCTTTATTGATAATTACGCACCGTCCGGCAACACTTTCCGCCGTCAACTCTACTTTTTCATCCGGCGGATGAAAATCATCCCCCTCGACGAATGCAGAAATTGGAAATCCCGTTTCAGCCGCGAGCAATTAACGATCCCCCCGGCGCGGCGACGGATCGAAGGCGTCCCCCGGGGCGTTCGACCCTGCGAGGAATGCAAGGTAACTGCAAATTTCCGGTAGACTAGATTCTAAGCGGGAATGGGCGTACACTTCGTTCGAACTCATTCCGCCCGTCCTTCTCGCTCCGGCAATAACCTCGGGGCGCCGTTCGCTTCCGATGCTCGACTCCGCGGCTCTCTTCCCTTTTTTACCTCGTCGCCCTGATCGCAATTGCGCCGCCGCCGTCTTTGCGCGGTATCATCCTCGCCCGTCGGGCTTCCTTTGCGTGCGTAAACCAGTTATCGTCTCTCTCGGATCTTGTCATTCCGCATGTCTTAAGATCGACGCGTGTAAGGGCGGTGTCGAAATTATTCCGTTACACGCGCGGAGATCTCGAGTCCTTGATATTTTAATTAATTAATTTAAACTTGATTTAGGCATTATTTTCAGATTTCAATAGATTAAATAGATTGTCCTCCCCCCCCCCTCCTCTCCCCTTCGTTACCATATATACAGGTAATACCTACAGCCCTTTTTCCCGGGGAGAGGTAAATTCAATTAACTTTAGGAATATAAATGCGCGTATAAATCATTGTGCAGTTTTACTTTATAAAGTTTAAGCGAGAGCTTCCGCAAATATAGCGGGAATTTAATAATTTTCTCGACAACTCAAGGGACGTCAATCTTTCTGATATCACTATCCCCTTCGTGTGGAGAAAAGAATTGACTTGGTGCTCATCATTGCTACCTGTTTCTGCAACAGGTGTGCCAGGATCGTTAAGCGGATTGCAAAAGAGCGACGATTCGCGGTATGCGAGAATTACGAAGCGCGCGCTTATGCACACGCGAGCATTTACGAGTGCATCCCGCGGCCATGCACCTATACATTCTAACACGCGGCTATTAGGCGCGCGCGGTCGGACGGATGCTGAAAATCGCAAATATATCACGATTCTGTCATTACATGCTGCTCTAAACCGCTGATTTACCGCAAATAGCCGCGTGGCATAATCAAATGCGTACGTCGATTCGCGCGAGAAGTTGCGTCATGATTCTGCCGCATTACCTTTAAACTAAAGGAAAGGAAAGGCTGCAATCATTGAAGTGATACGATTATACACTTCCACGATCCTTACAATTCCAATCATTTTCATCAAATTGTTAACAGAGACTGACTGACAGAAGATTGATTCATGCAGTTAGGAAGTAGAAATAGGTGTACACTATCCATATTTTTTATTCTAATTAATTACATTCATACACGTTCATTAATTTTATTCTAATTAATATTTGAAATATGTATGTATCTATATTACTATTCTTGTGTCTTCAGTCTTTCTGATTTTGCTAGACTAGGTACACATAATATTACGACTTCCGATCGCCCGTAAAAAAAATTTATATATAATTAAAAATAAATATACACATATTAGATATTAATTATATACAAAATATGCTCATATATGTTTTTTTCTTCTTCATATTTCTGTTTATTTCTCTGTTTATATGTATAGAAAAAATAATTTTGATATTATTTTTTAAATTATTTACAAAGAGTAAAATTTGATCACATACAATATTTTAAGTGTAATTATATATTAATTTGTATATAGATTTGTATATACGTTATTATACAAGGTGGTCTATTTATAAAAATATAAATATTTCAAAAAATATAAAAGATACGGAAAATTGTTTTAGACAAAAATTATACGGTCTAAAGGGAAACAAATATTGATTAATTTTCAAAACAAATTTTTTGAAGTCATATGAAATCATTGCTTTTTTTAAAATAGAAAGAGTTCTATAATTTTTTTACATAAATATGAATTTTCTAATTATTTTGCATATAAAAGTATTAACGTAAAGTTATCGAAAAATCAACACTTCACGAGATATTTTATACTTTGTCATAGCATTTCGACATAAAGTATGAAATATCTCGTAAACTATTGATTTCTTGAATTGTACTTTAATACTTTTATGTACAGAATAATGAGATGAATTAATTGATTTAAAGAAACTACATAGTTATATTTTAAAATAAATATATATTATAGTTGCATATTACAAAGTGCATTTTTTTAGATGTTTTTCAATTCTTATTATTTTCCCTGTATAATACATATAATATACGAACAGAGTAGATAATTAATATAAAAAAGGAATACATATATATTTCATATATATATTTCATATATTATATATGTATATATTTTCATTCAAAGCCGAAAGGCAAGAATTATGATTAAACTAACTACATATTTATATTATTTGGAGTTGTAACGAAGGAGGGAAGGGGCGAAGGGGGGTGATTTATTAAATACAAGTAAGCATCAGTACTCATTAAATTATTTAAGCGTGATGATACGGTTCTGTTTCAATCAAATGCTGCGTTAAATTCGATAATAACGGCTTGCAGTTCGTTGAAGCTAGAGTATGTAAAATCATATAGTTATATTTAAATATTAACTGACACCTATATTTTGCTCGTCTTTGGCCTCTTATCCTGACTATTGTTTACAATACGAGCCGGTAATTTATTCAGTTAAATTTATAGATATTTATATATTAAATCGTTTTTTTTTTTGAGAAATTTTATATTTTTCAAGATAATTAAAGCTTTCTTTAAATAAAATAAAAACTCGATTTTAGAGAATACATTTGATTTTACTTAAAGTATATAGTTTGAAATGATGCGCACTGATTTCTATTTGTATCTCTATTTAACTTGCATTAATGAAAATAATGTAGCTGACGTGTACACAAAAATTTGCGTAGCAAGAATAATGGAAACTATGGGCAGTATTGTAAACGTTACTTTAACATGCGTCAGGATAAATGTAACGGCGATACGAAAATCGACCAAAAAGAATGTACAGCTCGCAAAAACATTGTTGCACGGATGATTTCCATGTTGTCAGTTTTTTTCTTCGATCTGCCCCTTTTTCCTTCATTTTCCGGCCACTCGACAAAGTGTCTCCGGTATGGCTTTATTTTCGCGAGGTTTTGCAGTTTTTCGATTCGCTTCACTTTCAACTAATCATGTCGTAAGTCCGCTTTTACAAAAAAAAAGTTATAAAAGATGCATGCAGGAAAATATAACGACAGACTGGTCAGTGGTATAAAAATATTTGAATAATAGATTAATATTTGCAATATTTTAGTTTATAATTCTAATTAAACCTTCACTATGGCTGCATCTATTTAATCTGCTAAATATGTATTTGCATGTATACTGTTTTTAAATAATTCTTCAATTAATTAAGGTATTAAAACAATTCAATTAATTTCTGTATTATAATAGAGACATGTCTATATACATACATATATACATATATGAAAAGAATTGAAAGCAATGCAATAAATACGTAAGATTACCATATATATGAAAAATTAAAACAATTGAGAGATGCATGATTTTCATTTTAATTCATATACATCGAAGATTAATGTCCAATTAAAGAGGTTAAAGTTTTAATACGTGTTGTAGGTACAAGTGAACTTGCGGGATTTCTAGAATATCTTCCAGCATGAAATTTCCTTCGACATTATTCAAAAATCTAAAGTTATCTAAGCGGAATTTCGCACAGAATCAGCACGGCAGCGGAAAGAGCTGGGAATTCACTTTGAAAGAATTAGCGTTCAATTTGTCGGGATACAACAAATATGGGCTTTACACTCACGACATTTTAATACCTTTTGACGATCCCATTGTAGTCGAGGCATTGCATCGACTACCAGAGGAAGTACTGGATGCCAGGAATTTCAGGTAACGTGAATTTAATGTGAATTTCCAATAATGAAAAGAGCAAAAAAAATTGTATCAATATCCACTATAAAAAATATAAACATATAAGAAAAGAAAATTTAAAACATGAACATATTTTTTATATATGATATATTATAAATACATGAAAAAATAAAAATTTTCTAATTTTTTCCAATACTTTGTAAAAAATAACTACACTACGGCCAAATATCTCCACTTTAATAGACAAGATTCAGTTGTAGACTTCGTCAGTTTTTAATTACATTATTCGTGTTTTCAAATGACTGACTGCTGAATAAAATTTCACCGAGCACGGTGCTTTGCAGTTACACGTAGATCATTTTTTAATTAATAACGCACATGTAATTATATGCCGGACAAGAAGGACGCAGCGCGTCGCGCCGCGCTACAAAGAATTGCCAAGACGTCTCTTTCATTAAGTGCTAAATTCGCTTAACGAGGTCTCTTAATTTGAGACTCCGTTAGACGGCGATAGCGTTTCTACGAGCAACTTACAATATAGCGCGCAATAGGGTCGTCCTACTTTTGGCGTTTTTCTACGGTCGGTCTTGGAGGTCTTTACCGTTTGCGAATTAACGAGGGCGATCCTCGTGCTCTTTTTTTGCATTACAAGCCTCGGGAATATTCTGCGACACAGTTGATTTTTCTGTTATGCCACTCAGGCACTTCTCGAACGAAGGCACGTAACAGTTTTGCATGCTTTGCAGGATCATACGCGCGTCGCAGCTGAGTTTCCTGAAAATATATCTACCGAGGAAGAAATGGGTCACGTACGAGCAGGATAAAGAGTATCGATACCTCACTCCATATATAGAGGAGATCCAAGCTGAGGAAGCTGAGATAGACAAATTTGATTATGATTAAAGATAGAGATTGATCGGCTATAGTGGAGTAAAATAAGAAATAATTTCTGCGATCCTATTTCTCTATGTACAAATATTATTGAATTAAATGATTTTTACATGAAATGCTGTTATATGTCAATTTTGTGTGGTTTTTGTAAAGGAAACTTAATTAATAATGAAGTAAAAAATGTAATTTTCCATACATTATTTAAAAAATTTTAAACAATAAAAGTGCAGTTAAAAAAGCTATTATTTAAATGGTACAATGCATTGATGTACAGGTGTTGAAGTTCTTTGAACGAAATATTAGAAATAAAATATTTTGTCAAATGAATTTACATTGGAGAGATGAACTTAAAATAAAGTATTTCATGTTGTGGTATGCCAAAATTTATTCACACATTTTTCTGTTTCTTAAGCGTTTTAGTTGTGTTACTTGCCAATTTCACCTCAATTATCACTTCAGGTCTAAAGGTAGTAGTTAGGAGTTGGAAGTTGCTGTTCCAACCTGGAAGTGTAGTGCTAGTTGTTGGAAGTGCAACTTCGGGATTCATGAACTAAACAGACATGAAAGGTCACCCGGTTGACTGATTTTCAAACATCGAACGCAACAGTTAACTGCTCTGTAATAGTTTGCTTACATTGTGGTATATTTTCTCGATCATGGTTTTCGAAATAATAGAATCTGAATATAATATATAATCTCTAAATTTATTACTCTAAAAACAAGCTATTATAGTGTAATGTAATTGTGTATTTTTAAAAAATAAGATAAAATAAATTTATATGTGGATTTTTATTAAATCCTTTTTCTTATTTTAAAGTTAAATAAACTTAAAATTTTTATTTTTTTTATTAGTTAATTTTTTAAATGTAATTAATGTATAATAATAATGTTTATGCAATATGCAAGTTTATCTAATATTAAATATTTTATTTCAGTTATAACAAATAAATACTATTTTAATTTTAATTGGTGTCAATTTTATGATTATACATTTATAATTAGAACCATTATTACAATAGGTGAAAGTGAAATTGATATATTTTTAAAAGAAAAAAGCTATAATATCAAAAGATCGAATTGATCGATGTCGAAAACATATCTAATGCAATATGCAATTTATTGCCCGATAAATTTATAGCGCATCACATTTTGTTCCCCCATCTGGATGCACATATTATATCGAGAAACGCATAATCCACGGATTTGTTTACGCAAAATTTACGATGAATGAAAAGGAAAACCTGACTTTGCTTTGCATGGCATAATAAATCGCCGTGTGTCGTGTATACTTGCTGCAGCTACTGATTTTTGCACTTTTAGACATTTTATAAGTCGGGAAATTTGTTGTTTCGCACGAAGCAGTAAACGATGTTACTTCGATAATAAACTCATTGTTGATAAAGTTATTTTTAATTCTTTACATTGCACATTTATCTTTAGTACAAATTTCTTTTTAATTTGTTATTATATTTTATTCATGTTTTTCTTACATATAGAATTTTCCATTTTGATGAAAGAGAGAGAGAGAGAGAGAGAGAGAGAGAGAGAGAGAGAGAGAGGAAGAAACAATTTTTTCTAATTAATTAAAAACACTCTGGATATTTACTGTACTATCAAAAATTCATATTCTTTTAAATTTGCGTAGATTTTCACTTATTTACATTGCTGATATAATTTCTTTCTTAATAATTCCTTGAGGAGTTTGCTCAGAATCTAAATAAGTCTACCCTATCTGTTCGATCTCTTTTTTACAGGAAATATCTTCTCGGGGCATGTCGATCTTCTCGTAGCGAAACTTTTCTTATTTCTGGTTGACAGAAGTTTCGCAATTTTCCATAATTTTTTTTCCTTGCAAGGGCCACGGAAGCGAACCCTTGATATCCGAGTCCATTTAACGTTCGATCGAGTGTTGGCGAATTACTGGCTACAGCGACGCGGCGGTCGCGAGCGTCGCGGCGCTGGCTGGCGGGCGGCGTTTAGGGTTTCCCGTGAGGAAAGAGTTAATCGTAGTAACGCACGACTGGCGTCGACTTTACGAGTTAAAGCGAGGTCGTAAAAAGTTCGTCGCCGTGGTTCCCGCACTCTTATCCCGAGTTAGCCAATACTTGGTAGTTCGCGTTCTGAATTCTTTATGATTTCGCGAGCCTCGCGCGGAAATGCCTCACGAATGAGAACGCGAAAACGCGTTTACGTTTGTCGCCGAAAAGTACAGTATTCACGGCGCGCGTTTTCTCACAAATGGCCTTGCATAAATTGAAAAGTTGCATCCAGTGTCTATGCCATCACACGATTCTTTTATCTTGCACTTCGAAATTACGAGCAATTAAACGAATAAAAATAAATTCGTCGTCATCTAATTTTTTTTACGATTTACCTGTATATGAGATTTGTGATTCGTTAAATTTCGAAATTTATTTAAAAATTAACGTATGCATTTCCGTAAGCACAATTATTATTATATATTATACCATCGTTTGTAATTATTTTCTAAGAAATTTTGCTTCGGTTAAAGCAACGCATAGTAACTGAAGTAAGTAAACAATAACAAGTTTGGACAGTTTGGTTATGGTTAAATCGTCGATAGGACAGAATAAGCTGAAAATGAATTTTGTAATAATTTTCAAATTAGTCCATAGATTACCGCTCTCAGAGGGAAAGAATTCCGTGAAATAAAGTGCCACTCTGTTCGCGCTCTCTATTTTATCCTCTTCTTTTTCTCTTTCCCTACGCAAGATTATGCGAATATGAGTAGTAATTGTCTGGAGTATCGAGAGAGAGAGAGAGATAGAGATAGAGAGAGAGAGAGAGAGAATTCGCTTATTCAGCCAGAAACAACGCGGAACGATGTTAATTCTCTGGTCCCTTGGACACTTAACACGCGCCACGCTTTCAACGACCGGAACTTCACTAAGGCGTCTCTCTTGTGAGAGCGCGCGCGGCGCTCATTCGATAACTCGATAGCTCTAACGACGACGCTTCGGATAATCGCACTGACAACGTTCGCTTCAATTGCGTCCGCTTCATTTGATTCGCCTCTTTGTCCGGCTCGCGTTAAGCGCAAGGCGTGTCAAATTAAGGCGGTTATCGATTCTCTCAAATATTTCGGCTAAGTAACTTTACGTTTCTTGGACGTAGAGATTAGGAAGATCAAAAGGAGAAAGATAAAGGATTTAGTGGACGCTTGAAGACCATTGTAAGATTGTAACAGTTGTTTATCTTCTTATAAGAAAAGTAATAGTTGTTAAATTAAGAGAGGGGAAAAATATTAATAACAGGGCGTCAAGAATTGGTACAAACGGGAAAAGGAAATGAATCCATGAAAAAATAAATTAAAAATATAGAATAATATTTTTTTAATACAAAGTTTTGTTTTCTGAAAAAACGAGATCTCGTATAAAAAAATTTTTATTCTACATTTTTTATTTATTTTTTCATATAAAATCATCCTTTTTCTATTTGTATTTCCAATTCCGAAACAACATTAAATACATAATGGAATAGATATAATAGAATATATTTATCAAGGAAATAATGAAAAAATATTAAAAAAATTTATAATAAAAATATGATTGATATAGTTAGACAATTTGAAGTCTTTTTTTGTTTTCAATTAAGAAATGTCAAACTGAAAAAAATTCAGTAATTTATAATAAATTAGAACTAAATTATATTAAATTAAATTTTAGTAAATTTTAGTAATTTTGCAGTAAAATGATATTTTTTAAGGTATATTATTTTAATATTTTTGGTAACATTTATTTTACGATAGAATTCTGGTAAAATTCATTACCAGCAAAGACATGTTATGCTGAAAATTAAGAACTTACGACATACGAGAAATGAGATACTCGATATATAATAAATTTTTCATCTTGTCTGTGGTCGAGTAACATTATCGAGTTCCTGCCATTACGCAGAAACTTCGGCTTTGTTATAGCATAAGATAATAGTCGGCCATTTTAAGCTTGTTCGTGAAGTTCGGACCTCATCGTCCTCGTCCGAACTTGTCATCCAAACTTTCGCTAAGAAACTGTCCCTCTGGACATTGCGAGAGATATAGAATAGTATAGAGGTATTAGCGAATCACACAGTGATTATACGACAAAGCGTAATGCGTGCGAAATATTCTAAAATAAATAACATCTATCATTACATTTCACGTTTTATACGGATTATTCTCTGGTTACCAAGTTTTTACAAATACTTTTATGCACACGTTTTATACAGATTATTCTTTGGTCCTTCGGCTTTTACAAACACGATTGTAGTATAACAATTTGGCAAAATGGTGAAGTAAAAATATAAAAAGCTTCTGTCAGCTTTTTATTACTTTTATGCAATTGAAGATCAACCTCCCCGGAGAATGTTTTACATTTGTATGAGGCGATGCGTATTTTATAAAATTCTTCAGACGAAGTACATTTTATGCGGGTTGGAATTATGAAACATCTGATTAGAGTTTCCATCATCTGACGTGTGCGAAGAAATACTGTATCTATTTCTTTTTTTCCACCAACGGAGATGACTGCTTAGGGAATTGCGCGACTGGGGGAGCATTTTAATTTTATCCACGTTGAAGAGAAGGGATCTGTACATTATCCAGTCGCGTTCTTCTAAGTAAATAAGCCTCGCTTATTTATTTCGAATTGTTTTATATCACTCTTGTTAAATCCCACTGGAAACATAACGCAAAGAGCGGATTATAATCCGAGATACCTATTTTATTAATTCATAAAACTGTGCGGGCAAAAGAATTATATATATACAGAAGAAAAAAAATTCTAATTCTAAAATCAATCTACAAAATAAGATCGACTAATAATAAATGATAGCTATTGCAACTTAACAAAATAACGAAATGTAAGTCTCAAATTTTTAACTACTCTGTTAGTTTACAAAAATATATTGTTACATAAAAAAAAATCAGAGAAGTGTAACACTTTCTCTACACTGAGAAAAAAAATTGATTGTACGAACTAAATTTGTATAATTGTTCGATCCAATAGTTAATTCAACAATTCTTTAGTTGCACAAAGAAAGGTATTGTTCATTTATGTCAACTATTAAAATTTTTAAATTAAGAGTCAACTAAACCAACTCA